TTCCGAGGAGTGGCTGGTGGATATGAACCGCCAGCCTTCTGGTGAGCAGTCAAGTGCCTTAGGCACTATGCTACCAGAGCTCCTGACCTTCATCATAGCAGAGTATAAACATCAGGAGATAGATGAAAAAATATGGGATAGACTTGAAGATTTAGCAGGAAAATGAAAGATGAACCAGTAGACAGAAGAAGAGGAAAAGGGGGGCAGAGGAGTAGACTTAGCTAGTTTCAAAGAGCTTGATGGAATAGCAGTCATCCCTACTGAGGAGTTTTAAAGGGAAGAGATGGGGAGAGCAGATTTTTGGGGTGTTGTCTTCCTCATTAATCATATATGCCTTCCTTCTTTAATGACATGAGACTATAAATACAAGTCTGAATTGCTTTGTGCGTTAGTGAATGTCCAGTAAGGAAAGCAAACCATCATATTTCAACAGAGGCAATTTCATACCAGATATTTGTTACATGGGGAGCTCTGGTGGCATAGTACCTAAGGACTTGACTGCTAACCAGAAGGCTAGTGGTTCGAACCCACCAGCCACTCCCTGGAAGGAATGTTGGGCAATCTACTTCCATAGGGATACCATCTCAAAAACCCAAGGAGGGGTCATTAGGAGTTGAAATTCAACTTGATGGCAGTGAGTTTGGTTTGGTTATTTGTTACATGAGTGATGAAAGTGTAGAGAATTCAACCAGAGGGTGCTGAGGCAACGTGAAGATGAACTACAGAAAGCAGTTATGACTGTCGTGTTGGAGGGAAATTGGTAAGGCGTGCTGTAACTCAGGCCCCGAGGCCAGCACCATCTGGCAGGAGTTAGAACTACAGTGGTAATGGCCAGTAGGAACTGGTGCCACGGAAGAAAGGTGATGATTGGTGGGAGCTGGAGTGTCAATGGAGATGCAGCCACTCACATATGCCACTTGAAGCATATATCTGGGCTAGGGGAAGAAGGACTCTGGCTTCTCCTTTGCTTCTCACCCTTCAATTTGACTGAACACACAAGAAGCCAGAGGGCTAAGAACTCTGGAAAATATAATTCTCTCTGAATCAGAGCAGAGCAAGGAAAGGGTGAGGAATATATCTGGGAGCAAAGACGCAAGTGACTAGCATATGTTTTGATTGTCTAACAATCATGCTTTGATTGCCTTTGAATTCATCCCTGGGTGGGATGGAGCCATGAGGTCGACAGCTGTTTATATGGGTTATACATATTCCAACAGCAATGAATGTCAGAGTTTAGTGACTTTTCTTAAATATTCAAAAGTGAAAATAGTATTACTTTGGTAATTGTCATAATTATGGGAGCTAACCTACATGGTTCATGGGCAGCAGCCAGAAGAGTTCATGCCTCTTCTCATCTCCTCTCTTGTTTCCTTCTGCTCCTTTCTTCTTTCACCCTTCTATTAACTATATCTGCTGTACAACCACTCTTTTCCAATGACACCCACTCCTCACTTATTGACATAAGGTTCCAGGGACCAGGTCACTTGCTAAAATAGACATTGTGTGAAAATAGAGGATGATAATATCAGATCACAAATGGAGCATGACTACATCATTCCATAACTGCCCAATTAGATCATTACATAACAGCCAAATCACTCAGAATCATGACCCAGACAATTTGACACATAACCTTGACCACCACAGCCAGCCCTAGCAACTTCACATTTGTTGTATCAGATGTTCATCATTAATGTGCAAAATAGTCAGCTACTAGATTTTTTTACTGCTGTTGTTAATGTGAAGTGTCAAATAACAAGATAGTAATGAGGAGTAGGTATAGTCAACTTTGATAAAATATTGGGGTTACCACCTGACATCCCTGTTTCTTTCATGTCCTGAAGACTGGGTAGCACCCAGGGAGAAATAAAAAATGCTACAGTTGGCTTCTGGCTTCTACCCCATTTAACACACCTTTTATCTGATGTTGTTTACACACCTACCTTAGAGGATGTCATGTATGCCTGGGGATACTTTAGTCATTTGAACATTTTGATATGTTTGTTTGTATTTTCATTTCCTATAGTTGTACATGAACTGATTTAGGATAGGGTTGGCCAGTCACACATGTGTGTGTTTGTGTGATTGAAAGCATAGACTTTGGGAAAAAATTGCTTGGGTTTCAAATTCCAACTCCACTATTTCCTAACTGTGTGACCTTGGCCATGTGACCTAACTGCTCTGGACCTTTGTTTCCTCATCTAAAAATGTGGTTATAATAGTGTTGTTGTTAAGGTGCCGTCGAGTCAGTTCAGACTCATGGAAACCCTATGTACAACAGAATGCAACACTGTCCAGTCCTGTGCCATCCTCATAATCATTGCCATACTTGAGCCAATTGTTTCAGCCACTGTCAATCCATCTCGTTGAAGGTCTTCCCCTTTTTACCAAGCCTGATGTCCTTCGCCAGGGAATGGTCCCATCTGACAACATGACCAAAGTATGTGAGATGAAGTCTGGTCATCCTTGTGTCCACGGAGCATTCTGGCTGCACTTCCTCCAGGACAGATTTGTTTATTCTTCTGGCAGCCCATGGTATTTTCAGTATTCTTCTCTAACACCACAATTCTAAGGCATCAACTCTTCTTCAGTCTTTCTTATTCATTGTCCAGCTTTCACATGCATATGAGGCTACTGAAAATACAATGGCTTGGGTCAGGCTCACCTTAGTTTTCAAAGTGACATCTTTGCTCTTTAACACTTTAAAGAGGTCTTTTAGAGCAAATTTGTCCAATGCAACATGTTGTTCGATTTCTTGACTGTTGCTTCCATGAGTATTGATGATGATGATAATAATAATAATATTAACACCAAACCCATTGCTGTGGAGACAATTCCAACTCATAGCGACCCCCATTGGGTTTCTGAGCCAGCAAATCTTTATGGAAGTAGATTGCCCATCTTCTTTCCATGGAGTGGCTGATGGGTTTGAACCTCCAACATTCTGGTGAGCAGTCAAATCCCTACCTTATAGATGCTGAGTTTTAAGGATCAAGTGATTTGATACATAAATATGTATACACATGGCATACATATTCATATACATGTGTCAACTCATATATATACACATATATCTCTTTATCTAGGAGCTCTGGTTGTGTAATGCCTGAGGCATTTGACTGTTAATCAGAAGGCTGGCAGTTCAAACCCATCAGACACTCCTCAGAAGGAAGGATGGGCAATCTACTTCTGTAGAGATACTGCCTCAGAAAACCCAAGGGGAGTCGCTATGAATCGGGTCCAAATAGACGGCAGTGTGTAGAACATTGTATGGCACATGTTGTTGTTGTTATGTGCCGTGGAGTTGGACTCGACTCATAGAGACCCCTTCTTCGGTTTCCAAGGTGGTATCACTATGGAAGTAGATTGCCTATTTTCTTTCCGTGGAGTGGCTGGGCGGTTTGAACCACCAGCCTTCTGGTTAGCAGTCAAGTGCCTTAGGCACTACGCTACTAAGCATTCTATTTTTTCAACTGTAAATACTGCTCCAGCCTATCAAAAGATATCACACGTTTTCATAGCTTTTATCCAGCACCCGGTCATCACTGGTTGGGTAATTTTAAAAAACTGCTACTGATAACTGATTAGTCTAAATCAAGTATCACTATGCAAATTGCATCCCATAAATTTTAGGGCCATTTGTCTCTCAGTTGTAGAAATTTTTTTTTTTTTCTGCTTTGCTTAGTTGTGATTGGATCATTGCAGACCATGTTTCTGTAGTTTTTGTGGACTGAAGATTTAAATTTGTTATGGAAACAAGCTTCTTGGTTGACCAATGATTAGCTAATTTCTGATAATAGAAAAGGAAACAGATTGCCTGAGACTAGTATTTTCATTTCCTCATAAGAAGAAGAAGCACTGTGTAGAAGAAAAGCAGACACAACATTTTGAACCTCTGCCACCATGGGGAACTGGGCTGTGAATGAGGGGCTTTCCATCTTTGTCATTGTAAGTACCAATGAGCAGTGAATTATGAATTCTTTGGCTTTTTTTGTTTTAGTTTGGTTTTAGTTCTGTTGGGAGATAAAGTAGAAGAAATCTTTGTTTGTCTCCTTAATGTGAGAAATAACGTTGAAACTGATTTATGTTGTGAACATAAATATATGTTCACAAAGGCTACAGTATATTTATACATAAATATATAAAGATATTTATCTGTAAGCAGACTGCATCCACTTCCAAATTTCTTAATGGAAAAAAAAAATGTACTTAGGGGGCTCACTTCTCTAGCTTTTTTCCTTAAGTTTCTAAATTAGCCAGCATGTCACAGAGGGAGTAGAAAATTTTCATGATAATGAGTTCTGATTCTGAGTTGTTTCCTAATTGTTAGTGAGAATACAATTCTCCACTTTTTATGTGCTTCTACCACTTAAAAATGACCAACTGAAATGTTATACTATTTTCCAAATGAGAAGCAGAAAACTGGCTTATTTATGGGAAATTTATAATCTTTATTTTAGTAATTACATCAAAAATAAGTTAAGTTCTCAACTTTGTTTTTCTAAAAAGCACTTTGATTTTCCTGAGGTCTAAATCCAAGGAAAGAAAATTGAAATAAGTGATGTAAATTATAAATCTATATAATTTAT